CTTCCCCACACTCCCCTCCTCTTCCCCCACGGCACAACGATCCAAAGCGGCCATTTTCCTTGGTCTCTAGCGGGAGCACTATCAGCACGACCTTCTCCAAGTTCTTCCCTACTGTGATATCTCTGATAATATTTTCTTTATTTGTTAATACTAGGTCTAATATATTGTCACCTCTAGTAGGTTGTGTATATCAATATATATATATATATATATATATATATATATTGATAAAATCACACGGAAAAGGAAACAACGGAGAACTCCTGAAGATGTCTTGAATAAAGAAGCTAAGGTGCTCCGTTGTTTCCTTTTCCGTGTGATTTATAAAGATTTATCTTATCCACGTTTTCATTGTGATTATATATATATATATATATATATATATATATATATATATATATATATATATATATATATATATGTATATATATATGCAAATAAATCACTGTAGGTGCACGTGGTCCAGGTATACGCTGATAACCACAAGGAAAAAAGAAAACACGAAGTTCCCAAGTGCTTTCGTGTAATTCACATCTTCAGGAGTGAGTACAGACTAAGGAGAAGTACAAAACAAGGTGTATATATACAGAGGAGGGTGAGATCAGGTCCACAATGGTCAGGTAATAGGTAATGACCCTACTAATCTTTAAAAAGCACCGCAACGGTCGGTAGTCAGGTCAGAGGGTAAGGTGTCCCAACCTTCTCACCTGGTTACAAATCTTCTAAATTACAAAATTGTCCAGTTTGTACATGCCATTACTCAAATTTTAAGATTAAAAAATTTCTTAGTCTTTTAGAGCAGCAGGCATGCTTGAAGGTGGGCACGAGTCACTCTTAGCTTTTCACTCATGGCAAGCAATCAGGTCGCCACTCACTCGTCGACAGAACGTCCCACGTGGCCACAAATTCCTGTAGGCGTTTTCAACCATTGGATATACAAATACGTGCCACACATGCGTGTAGGAACCCCGCTGAGACTGGGCAACAAGCTGACACTAAACGACACCACAACTAAGGAAAATTGATATGAAGGAGGGAAACTGGATCTTTCTTCTATCTGGGGCAAGGTATACCTGGTTGTAGGGTGACCTGTCCTTACTGGGCAGGATTAACTTGTCGCTCTCCCTCTCCTATACAAGAACTGCGAGAGAGGCTTGCCCTGTGTGCAGGATGAGTGAAGTGAATGATTGAGCTCTGGGAGACACAAATTCCCATGGTGCTAGGGAGTACTGTATGCACACCGAGTATCGGTGCTGATTCTTCTATTAGGTACTTTCACCTCTCTTCAACTATGGGTGTATGTGGTTTGTCCAACCAAGTCCTGGTGTGAGGTCAACGACCCTGATGGTTGATCTTACACCCTGAACGTGGGAGTACTTCTTAAAGGATTGCTTGGTGCTATGCATGTAGTACAACTTGACGGTATATGGTGAAATCGGGGAGTGTCACTTGATTGACAGAAGCTTTCAATACGGAAACATAAGAAACATAGAGTCAACATATATATTAACTTAGATCTGGTACTGTGGGAGCTGGTCTGATGACGATCATCCAGCTATAATAAAATTATATGAGTTATAAAAAATGTCACTTTCATTGGTAAGCCCTGAGGTGATTCGAGAGGCCGAAACGGCACTGGCAGGGCCATCCACAGATGTTACACATGTGAAGGGCTACATCTAGTGCGGAAGGGGAAGTGACAGCGTCTTTCCAGCAGTGGAGCTTGTCTGTCTCGGCATGCAGTCCAACCAACTCGAAAGTGTTGAAAACTTCTCGTTTGGTGCTCCTCCAAGCATTACGGTGTGGAGTGATCATCTCCTAGGTGAGGAGGTCGATTTGGTACTTTTTCAAGTTTGTCTTAAGACTATCCTTATACCTTTTCAATTGCCCGCCAGCTTTACGTTTGCCATTCGTTAGGTGACTGTAAAGTAGCTGCTTTGACAGACTGCTGTTGTCCATGTGGTTAACATGGCCAGTCCAAAATATTTGTTCATGGATAATGATAGCTTCGATGCTCCTACAGTACAGTTGGTGTCATGGAGAATACTGGCATTTGTTCTCTTGTATTCCCAGTGAACTCGGAAGATGGAACGTGCACTACGTTGATAAGGGTTTTAAAATGCACTGAAGTGCCTCCTATATGTGACCCATATCTCGTTGCCATTCAGCTGGGTGGGGAGGACCACTGATAGACATATGTGCAACTTTGTAGATAATTTCAGCTTTCCTATAGCTGAAGAACCGAGTATGGAGTCAACCAAAGGCTTGAGATGCACATCTGATCCGATGTTGAACCTCTTCATCGGTGTCCGTTGTGGTGGAAAGGTGGGAGCTAAAATGCGGAAAGTGGGAAACATTAGAGAGAGTAATACCGTTAATCTAGATGGCTGGTAGAGATGTGGATGAACAAGAGGCAGGCTGAATAATAATCTGAGTCTTACGTACATTCACCTCAAGGCCAAAGTGTACTATATATCCGCATATGCGTGTCCTGCGTGTCTTGTTGAAAAGTCTGTTCATCTTGTACTGAATATCCAATCCGCTGGCTAAATTATCACTAGCACGAGCACGACGAGAAAATGGAAAAGAGAGTTGGTGCTAGAACATATTCTTGTTTTACCCCCGTTTAGATGGACTCAGACTGGGTGCCATTGTTCAGGACACTGCCATTCATACCATACTAGAGTTGCCTTAGTAAGGTTGATGAAAGACATGTACAAGGCACGACGAGGTTGTCTACATTTTTCCTGTACCTGGCAGGCCAAAAAGATCCTGTCAGTGATGGCCTAAAGACACATTGAGATTCTGGGAGAAAGTTTTCCTGCTCAGGAAGAAGCCTGTATAGAAGGACTCGGCGATAATATATCCAGTTATGGATAGCAGCGAGATCCCACGGTAGTTGCCACAATCTGACCAGAGATGGCTGGTAAGCAGAAGTTCTCCTGCTTTATACACCTCGGCTCGGATTCCATCAGGCCCTGTGGAATGGCAGTAGCTACCTCATAACGGTGGGTCAGCTCTGGGTACTGTGGGACCTGCTGGGTAGTCAGCACTTCCACATCGTTATTTCAGTTAAGCAGCGAATGGTAGTGCTCTTTCCAGCGCTGACGGACCCCTTCTTTCTCTTTAATTAGGGAGTTACCGTCGGATAAGGGAGGGGGTCCGCGCCATGAGTAATTAGCCATACATTGTTTTAATTGAATTGAAAAATTAACTCATCATATGTTGATCAACAAAATCTGCATTTCACACACTTTATTTTTCCACCATTTGATCTTTTGATTGCCAAGTTCGCGTTGGGCCATCGTTTTCTTCAGGCGGAAAGTATCAGCTTTGGTTCGATTTCCTGGTTATTTTCATCAAAACAATCCTGGTGCTTTCTTTCGGTCTGGCCCAGGAGTTCTGGGCGTGGTTTTGTTATTACGGTGTCGTGGATACCCCATGCAGCACAGGAGAGTTAGGTTATTTGTCGCTCGGTTGTTTAATAGCCCATATTTGAGCTGCTGTCTGAAAATATGTTTTGCAGCTTGATCCTCCTGTCGTTTGATGTGAAAACCTCTTCTCGAGGCTTGTTGCCTTCGCTGTTTTGGGGCGACATGAACGGAGAGTTTGGCTCTGACGAGCCGATGATATGTGTCACAGTGGTCTGAGCCTCGCATGGCTCAGGTGATGGGGACATCTCAGAGATCTCTTTCTCTGACAATTATTTAGTCAATGAGATGCAAATATAAAGATCGTGGGTGTTGCCAACAACCCTTGAACATTTCGGCCTCCCTTAACAATGTGTTGGAGATAGTGAGGTTATGTTCATAAACTTGCTGAGGGCGTGTAGGCCTACTCCATTTCTCCCTAGGGTTTATTGCCATATGTCAGAATCTCTGAAAATTCTGACATTGAAGTCACCACGGAGCACAACCTTATCTTCTCTTGGGATAGAGGTTAGCACTCTGTCAAGGTCGGCATAAAAGGTCTCCTTGATGTCATCTCTGCATCCAGAGTTGGGGCACATGCACTGATGAAGAAGGCATGACGTGAGTGATTCAGTTGGACTCGAAGCGTCATGAGGCGCTCATTGACCCCAACTGGCATTTCAGTTAACCTGTGAATGATAGATTAGCGAATGACCTATGAATGATAGATTAGCGAATGGCAAAGCCAACTCTATATATGCAGTTTCTGTCCACAGCAGGCTTATCCTTCCAGAAGAAGGAACAGCAGGACCCTGTTCTGTGAGTCTACCCTCGCCTTGTAGCCCATGCTAACTAATTGCTGCTATGTCGATGTTATACCAAGCAGCGACCTGTTTTTGCTTTGACCTGTAATTATATTTTCGACCACTTTAGTATGACCTTACTGGGTACGGTTGTCCAGTCAGGTCGGTCTTTTAGGCAGGCTATTCTTAGCCCCTTCCATATGTGAGGTGAGCAAAGTGACTCCTGGAGAGGGCTGTTCAGTCATACAGACAGGTTTAGATTGCACTGCTGCATAGATCTCCTATTACTGTCTTTATTACAGAACGCTCGATCTAGTTACCTTACCTGAAAATCCCCAACAATTAAGATTTTCTTACCTTCCTTGTAAGCCAAACGACTAGAAGAGTTAGCACACTTAGCTGTTGCTGTTGGCCTTCGTCACCTCAAGCGTTGTCGCTGGAGGCAACTATATTTATGTTACTGCATGAATAAAACATACCTGATGAAAACAAAATATTGAAGTGGAGTCGTGAGCGCCTAGTACTGGGTGAGGAGCAACTCTCCTGTGACCCGTGTCATGTCGTCGTCGGTGAGGATGGTGAGTTCAAATTAAAGACAGCTGAGGGTTAGATTGCTTATCAGAACAAACCAAATATTGTCTAAGCCACCTTTTTCAGCAATCAGAGACCGTAACTACACATCTGATCACCCTATAAATAAGGCAGATTTCACCATCCTCACCACTTGCCCAATGACATGACACAAACCTCTTATAATAGTTTCTTGAAATAAATCTATAATACACACTATGAAGACAGAAGTAGTTGAGATACTGCCGTCAGTGAGGAAGATGAGTGTACAGCGAGGATGTGACTCGGCTGCCAGCAGCGACTCCAAGGCATTAGTTAGTAATGTAGTCCTTTTACGATGAACTGTCGAGGGAAAAACAGGTTTTAAATCTGAATCATACCAGTTCACCCGAACACATGTTCACTAAACACTTTAGGATATTAGGGATAGTTGTTGAATAGTGATAATTTCAATTAATTGATGTTCGTTAAAAAAAGAAACCTGATTGTATTCATGATAAATAATTTGTAAACTTTATATAAACAGTACAAATAATAAATAAAGAGTACAAATATTAACCTTACTAACTACCTAATTAATATGAAAACTGTGATATTGCATAAGAAACACACACACACACACACACACACACACACACACACACACACACACACACACACACCCACACACACACACACATACTACTACTACAACTACTACTACTTCTACCACAGCTACTAAATCTTTAATGTCACTTGGAAACGAGTATGACGATAATACAGCTATGATACAATGGTATTAGTTGTTAAGGATGTCACCTTCATTGGTGAGCTCTGAGGTGACTTGAGAGGCCGATACGGTACCGTCAGGGTCGTCCACAGATGTTGCTCGTGTGGAGGTCGATTTGGCTCTTTTTGCTAGGTGACTGTACTGTGGTGTAGATTCTTTGGCAGTCTACTGTCGTCCATGTGCGTAACAAGGCCAATTCAACATAGTTGTTCATTGATAATGGTATCCTCGACACTCTTCCTGTAGTATCAGCGAGAATACTGGCATTTGTCCTTTTGTCTTCCGAGCGAACTCAGAGGATGGAACGTAGACTACGTTGGTGAAAGTTTTCAAGTGCCCCATGTATGTGACCCATGTCTCGCTGCCATACAGCAGGGTGGAGAGGATCACTGCTAGATATACATGCAACTTTGTAGATAATTCCAGCTCCCTACATCTGAAGACATGGGTACAGAGTCTGCCAAAGGCTTGAGATGCACATCTGTTCTAATGTTAAATCTCTTCTTCGATATCCGTGGTGGTGGACAGGTGGGATTCAAGATGTTGAAAGTGAGTAACATTAGAGAGAGTAATAATATTGACCTAGATGGATGGTGGAGGTGTGGTTGAGCTACAGCCAAGCTGAAAGAGAATCTGATTCTTATGTACATTCACCTCAAGGCCGAAGTGTGCATACGCATCTGAGTAGGTGTTCAGGAACTCCTGCAGGTCGCGTTGAGTGTGACCGAAGATTTTGAGGTCATCTGCATACTGAAGTTTAGTAATGGAAGCGGCCGACACCTTTGTTCCTGCCTGGAGTCGTCTTATGTTAAAAGGTTCCTTCATCCGATACTGGATGTCCCTCCCTCGCCGAAATTGGCACTGGCGCAAGTACGAAAGGCAGCCAAGTAATTTAAAAAGAGAGTTGGTGCCAATACACATCCTTGATTTCCCCCCTTATGGGTGGGCAAGAATTTAGACTGGGTGCCATTGTGCAGGGCACTGCCGTTCATGCCATCATGGAGCCATCTCACAATGGCGATGAATTTCGGTGGGCTGCAGAAATAACTCAGGGTCCGCCAGAGGACTTCCCCTTTGACCAAGTCGACGTCCTTGGTAAGGTTGATGAAGATCATGTTCAAGTCACAACGCTGTTCTCTGCACTTTTCCTGTATCTGGCGGGTAGCAAAGATCATGATGGTGTAAGACCACATTGAAATTCTGGGAGGATATTTTCTGCCTCAGAAAGAAGTTTGTTTAGGAGGACTTGGGGGATAATCTTGCCAGCTTCAGACAGCAGTGAGATCCCGCCGTAGTTGCCACAGTCTGACTGGTCTCCCTTGTTCTTATAAATATTGATAAAGGAGGCATCTTTAAGAGCTTAGGGAATTTCCTCCTTGTCCCATGTATATTCCAGGAGAGAGTGGAGCCAGCTGGTAAGCAGAGGTCGTCCTACTTTATACTGTACAGTGTATACCTTGGCTGGGATTCTATCAGGCCCTGTGGCTTTGTTATTTTTCATCCGTTTGATGGCAGTAGCTATCTCATCCAGGGATGGAGGATAGCTAAAGTGGGTCTGCTCTGGGTGCTGAGGGACCTGTTGGGTAGTCAGGATAGCCACATCCGTGTTTCAGTTGAGCAGCGAATGGTAGTGCTCTTGTGCTCTTTGCAGCACTGAACGATGCCTTCTGTGTCTTTAATTAGAGAATTACCAGCAGATGAGTGGATGGGGGTTGTGCCCCGAGCAATTGGGCCATAAAATGTTTTAGTGGAGTCGAAAAATGCATGCATCTTGTGTTGATCTATAAGTTTTTGCCTTTCCTATGCCGCTTTCTTCTTGTTGAAGGTATCAGCTCTGGTCCGAGACTGAGAGTTGTTCTGCTAGTCATGCTTATCTTGAACGAATCCATTGATCCCCGGGTCATTTTCATCAATCCAGTCCTGGTGTATTCTTTCGATCTGGCCGAGGGTCTTTCTGCAGGCTTTTTTCATGACAGTTCAAGGACACCCCATTCGGCATGTGCTACCACTGGATACTCCAGTTGCTTGGTGTTAAAAGCCTCTACTGGAGGTTTGTTGTATTCGCTGTTTTGGAGCGACGTGAAGTGAGAGTTTGGCACTGACGAGCCGATGATCTGTGTCACAACAAACGCATGGCTCGGCTGATGAGGACATCTCGGCGATCTCTTTCTCTGAGAATGAAGTAGTCTATGAGATGCCAATGTTTGGATCGTGGATGTTACCACGAACCCTTGAACCTGTCGGAGTGCCAAAACATGGTGTTGGTGATAATGAGGATGTGTTCAGCACACGTGCTGAGGAGAAGTAGGCTGTTGAGATTTCAATTGCCTACTCCTTTTCTCCCTATGGTTCCTTGCCATGTCAGCATCTCTTCCAGCTCTGGCATTGAAGTCACCTAGGAGCACAACCTTATCTTCTCAGAGGATAGAGGATAGCACTCTGTGAAGGTCAGTGTAACAGCCCTCCCTGGTGTTATCTTCTGCACCTAGTGTTGGGGCGTTTGTACTGAGGAAGAAGGCACGACGTGAGAGATTCAGTGGAACTCGTAGCATCATGAGGCGCTCGTTGATGAAGCACAGACAATACACCCATCACACTAGACGCCAGCACCCACACCACATACCAGTTCCATTACCAATGCACAGACTGGGACACTTTTCAATCCACATTTCTGAACAGCTCTACACACGTAACCTCGAAGCAGCCCACAGGAAAAATAGAGGAAACATGATCACAACAATTTAAAACTCATCACCGCTGCAGACATCATACATCAAAATACCTAAACAAAAATAAAAATACTCCTTCAAACCATCTACAAGAACACAATGTCTGCTACATTCCTACAGACGACTATTTGTACAGATCAAACACAACCGCGCACCAGCACAAACAAACAACACCACACTAAGAACACATATCATCCACATCCTACGCCTCGACCTTCAAGTGCACTAGGCAAGTTTCATAGAGACCACCCTGAAGCAGGACTCACTACCCCCGAGAGTTCTGGCATAATCGAGGTGCGGCCTGACTAGCATAAGATATAGTTGCAATATGACCTCTTCACTCGTATTACTTACACTTCTAGATATAAAACCTCATACTCTGTTTGCCTTATTTCGAACATTAATGCACTGTTTTCCAGGCCGTAGGTCCGGCCTTACAAGTACCCCTTAGTCGCTTTCAAAAGTCGACTTCTCTAGGTTGATGTTGTGAAGGCTGAATACATTGCTAGTATTTGTTCATCCAATATTAAGCACCCTGCACTTGCTGGTGTTGAATTTCATTTGTCATTTTTTGGCCACTCCTGCAGTCTATTTCAATGCTCTTGTTGTGCCTTTGCATCCTGCCCTGAATTAATTTTTTGCCCTATTTTGGTGTCATCCGCAATCTTGCTTATGTCACTGCTGATCCCATTATCTAGATCGTTTATGTAAACTATGAACCGGAGTGCCTGTTGCTGGAGTGGACCTCATACTCGGTAACGATTTGGCGGGGGGGTCAAATGGGGAACGTAACCCCACCTCCTGTGCTGCGAGAAAGACCAGAGTCTACCGCAGAACTGCAACAGCTTGAAGATGATATCCCCGGTGTTTTCCCTTTGTGTGCTGTGATTCGTTTTATGTCAATGACTAATGATCTTATTGTAACTCCTGATGTAGATGATTCACTTTCCTTAGAAGGACTTTTTGCTAACCCAATTGCTTCCCAAGACATTTCTTCCGCAGTTAATGCTGTGACCGGGAGAGTTGCTTTAATAGCTGCGCAAGAGCAAGACGATTCATTACGGCTCTTGTTTGACCAGGTGTCCGATTCTGCGAATGATTCAGGCCCTACCACGAGATATTGCAGTCAAGACGGTGTCTTGTGCCGCCGCTGGCTCCCAAGGACTATGTAAGAGGAAGACGCGGACTAGGCGTCTGTCACTCAAATAGTTCTCCCACACACTTACAGACAACATGTTCTAGCTCTGGCCCATGACGGTCGCTTTTCTGGACATCAAGGTGTCCGAAAGACGTTCAACAGGGTGGCCAGAAAGTTCTATTGGCCAGGTATGAGGAGAGATGTCACTAAATATTGTAAGTACTGTCATTTTTGTCAAAAGGTAGGCAAAGCCAATCAGGCTATTCCACCTTTTCCACTTGTAAGAGTACCTCACGTACCTGAGCCCTTTACAACAGTACAGTGTGATATTGTAGGCCCTCAGCCTAAAACTTCTAGTGGGTTTAAATATTAATTTACAGTCATTGATACCTCCACTAGGTACTTGCATGCTGTACCTCTTTGGAAAGTTACTGCTAAGGCCCTAATATCATCCATTTTGTTTCTCATACTTCTACTGTTTACTCATCAAGTAAGAGGTCCTTTGCACATAGTTAGAGGTAGATTGTTAGGTTAGTAATGAAGACAGCATTAGTGTATTAAGTTTAGTAGGAGATGTTAGAGAGAAGCTTCTAAGATGTTGGAGCCTTGCCGTAGACCACTTACAGCAGTCGCAGACCGAGACCAAGACATGGTACGACAAGTGTGCCAGACACAGAGAGTTCCAGATAGGAGATCAAATTCTCAT